TGATACTTGAGAAGTGAAAAGAAGTTTACTGGATTTACAAAAAGGGTGCAATAATTGTTTAAACAAAATCAAGCAGGTGCATAAATTTGGGCACCACAAAAAAAGCAATGGAATAAATATTTAGTGTATATCAATGTGTGTGTCTCCTATATGATATATAGGGTGCCTTTGTCTGGACGTGCTTCTCATCCAGAGCTCAACAGCAGAGAGGGAAGTTCCAGCGCTCCTGGAATCCCTCTGTGATGGACCGCCAGTCTCCAGGTGAAGGCACAGCCATGAAGTCGTCCACTAGACAGTCCCAGATGGCCGTCGCTACCTGGGGGGTGATCTGGCACACCGTGGACACACCGACTCTGAAACTGAACGCGATGGTCCTGAAGGAGTCCCTGGTGGCAAGGAACCTGGACAAAATTGTTCAAAATTAGTATTATGTGTACGGCAGTTACAAAATACATTATTCAAATTCCAAAATACTTTCGTGATGTCAGATTTAAATCACAAAACTTAAATCTTACATAAAACATTTTGTAATTATAAGGATAATTACATAATATATATTAGATATAATATAAAAAAGTCAGTTGTGTTTTGTTTAACTTTAACATATCATAATTTGATTGGTAGCAACTTTCACCACTACAGTGTGCCAATCACTCATAATTCCTAGACATGTCGTATCAGGTAGGAATGAAGTAAGACATTAATAGAAATAAAGAGCTGTATGTTGACATGTAGCCCTTTACTTGCTTAAATCATTGTTAATATTTTTGACAAATTAAACTGTGATAAGACATAGCTTATCAAGATAGAATATGCTAGATAGAACCATATAACTAAAGATGAACCAAACTGTTCACAGTTTTATCAAGCTCTCAGTTTTAGGAAAGGCTGGTGGCCCCTGTTATAGAGTCTGACAGCTGCGAGGATTATATACAAATATTCAACTATCCAGAATGAAACCAGGTCTAAATAAAAAAAAGGAGTGAGTATCACAACAAAGATTAACCCACAGTGGTCCTCATACCAGTTTGATATCAGCAAACACCGAGGCATACATTGATATGACACCACAGCCATGCTATCATTGCAAACACTGATAACAGCATAAATGAATTAAATCGGGACTTGATGAGACCTTTCGAGTATCACTAGAAATATTATAAACAGTCGTCTCCTACCACAGTTTGCTATCAGTAAACACCAGCATTCACTGACAGCATACCACATCCATGTTAGCAGTGTATAAATGATAGTTTTGGGCGATCGTGGCTCAAGAGTTGGGAGTTCGCCTTGTAATTGGAAGGTTGCCGGTTCGAGCCCCGGCTTGGACAGTCTCGGTCGTTGTGTCCTTGGGCAAGACACTTCACCCGTTGCCTACTGGTGGTGGTCAGAGGGCCCGGTGGCGCCAGTGTCCGGCAGCCTCGCCTCTGTCAGTGCGCCCCAGGGTGGCTGTGGCTACAATGTAGCTGCCATCACCAGTGTGTGAATGTGTGTGTGAATGGGTGGATGACTGGATGTGTAAAGCGCTTTGGGGTCCTTAGGGACTAGAAAAGCGCTATACAAATACAGGCCATTTACCATAGTTTAGCATATATTAGCACAGGTATCAATAAAGGACTACCGTATTAAACACTTTTACTAACCTCAGGCAGATGGACAGGCGCTCTGCAGGTGGGATTGAGCGCCTGAAGTTGGTGTCTAGGCGGGCGATTCTGGGACCAACACGGGACAGCAGGTCCTCAAACTGGGCGAGTGAAAGACGGTGATATTGCTGAAATCGTCATCCAGGCGCAGCTCCTGGAGCAAATGGTGAAACTCACCAAACTGCTCACACGTCTGGAGGACCTGATGGACCCAGGTACGGCGAGGACGTCCTTAACGCCGCTGCTCTGCTCTCCACAGTAAATAGAGAAGGGAGACTCTCTCTTCAAATGCTAGCTCCACAGCTGCCATCTAGCAAAGATACCGTCTGGCACAACTTCCTCCCACATCCCTCCCACATTTCCGGTTCACGCGCGTCAAAATATGCAATTTTGAGGTGCGATTGATTTGTGTTGGACACGGGTCGAGGTGCGAATGTGCACGCGTCAAATTAGGGGCAATTGGCGCATTTTCTCTCGCGTCTATCGCGTTCGGTGTGAACACACCGTTACAGAAACATCGGCAACAACGAAACCCTACACAAGTCACAAAAACAGGTAAATCTCGTTGCTTTTGGAGGCACGAAGATCAAGTCCACAGGCACAGTTAGTCTCAAGTGCAAGCTAGCTTGACAGTTATACGACCTGCAATTCCAAGTTGTAAAACACGATGTGCAATCCATTATTGGATTAAAGGACAGTGTGAGAATGAAACTGGTTAGTTTCAGCAAGGAAGTCTACCATGTTGACACAGATCAGGATGAGACACTAGCACAGAAAGTTTTTCACAAATACGCAGACCTGTTTAAAGATGAAGTCGGTGACTTACCTGTAACCTACTCAATGAAACTCACTCCAAACGTGTCACCTGTCGTCAACCTTACAAGACGCGTTCCTGTTCCCATGCAGAAAAGAGTTAAAGAGGAACTCCAAAGAATGCAGGCCTTGGGAGTAATTGAACCAGTGGAGGAGCCCACAGAATGGATATCCAACATGGTTGCAACACACAAAAAGAATACAGATGATGTTCGTATCTGCATTGATCCAAGGAATCTGAACAAGGCGCTAATGCAACCTCACCATCCCATGCGAACTGTGGAGGAAGTAGCTTCTCAGATGTCTGGAAGAACCATCTTCTCAGTTCTGGATGCAAAGAGCTCCTTCTGGCTAATCAAACTAGATCCTGCCTCATCTCTTCTCACTACATTTGCAACAACTTTCAGCAGATTCAAATTCTTGAGGATGCCCTTTGGTATCAAGACCGCTTCTGAAGTCTTCCAGAGAGCCATGGAACAGATATTCACGTGATAGCAAGCAGAGCTAATTTTACTGTCAATTTCCCTGTTGTGGTTGTCAAACCCTTCAAGGCTGTTGTATGCCTTCACGCGAGCTGTTGCTATAGCAACTTCTTTGTCTGCTTGTAACTGCTGTAGTTTTGCTCTTTCTTGTTCCAACTGTTGTTGCATTTCCACCTCTTTTAGTTTAATTTCTGACAACATTTTTGCCTCTTTGAGTTTCCATTCACTTTCTAACTTGTGAAGATGTACTTGCTGTGCTTGAATTTCTTCCATAGCCTTTGATTGCTCCAGCTTGGCAGCAAGCTCTGCTTCTGCATCTACTCTACTGCTGCGGGTACAGGATGAACCAGAGTGATGGCTCAATTGCTCTGACAACTCTATAGAGCTTGCAGTTTCCGTTATGCTGTCACCAAAAACAGACCCATATTCGTTCTTGCTTAACACTTCTCTTACTCTTTCTTTCTCAAGATGGTTATTATATTCCTCATGAACAGTCTTTAGACGGTCACTTATGAGGTTACATACATCCTTTGTAAGCGTAACACAGGCGTCAATTTTGTTGACAATGTCAGGTGTGGTGTTACTGTTACGCAGGATAGGTTCATACTGTGAACTTACAGCGTCGTGCTTTGCTTCAATGTTTTGCTGCAGTTTATTGAGGTCTTCTGCTGAGCAGAGGGATTTTAGTTTTGTTCTAGTTTCCCTTGCTACGAGCTTCCAAGAGTCTTATTGAATGATTTTGAATGATTTTTCACGTTTTCTGATATCGTGATTTTGCATCTCTAGTCCTTTCTCTGTTAATTTTCTCTCACGTGAGCTAGATTTGCATGGTGCGTTTGTAGGGTTGCCTGTTTCTTCTTTGGGTGAGCTGGATTCGCATGGTGCGCTTGTGGGGTTGTCTGTTTGCTTTTCTGGTAGTGACATTTTGTTTCTGTAGCTGCCTTAAGTCGACTGTAGCTTTGATTGCCTTACTGCCTGACTGCACTTTTAAGCTGTAGTTAATCTTTACCACAGAGTAACCCTGTGTCAAACATTTACTGATTATGGACATTCAAAGGTATGTTTAGTGTAAGACAGCAACAACAAATGTTCATAAATTAGCTAATGAGCTTCACGCTTTAAACCTTTTTATAAACAGACATCCTGTGAATTATTATTCCACAAAAAACACATTTCGCTCACCAAGAAACATTAACCAGATTCAGGAATATCATGTGTTGGAATTCCATGAATTATTTTGGCCTCGTAATTATATTTAAAGGGTTTCTAGTTATGCATTAAGCTTGTACATGAGTGTAAGCAGTCCCGTGTTTCTTCTTGGTACCCAATGTCTCTTTCAGTATTTGGAGTCCTGAGCTTTAGTGTGCCGTTCTTTCTAACCTTGCGAGTGCAGTTTGTAAGTGGGAAAAAAGCATGTGCTTAACTCATTGACTGTGTTGTGATCATAAAACAGTTTTCATAAATCATAAAAAAGTTTTTTGTCAATTCACAGAAAATGTCTTTGACTTTTCTGTTATTTACTAATTTATCTATTACTTACTTACTTTGGTATAGTATGAATGGCAATGGGAGAGATCTCCATCAGTATAAAAAGCTGTAAAAGTTGTAAAATTGCAATTAAAGCTCCAAAATTTATGCCCTCCTTCACAGTTTAACATGAAATCCAGCGGGCCGTGTTGAGTTTTCACCAGGCATGGCCATGGAGTTGGACCAGCAACAGGTGATTCATATTGAGGCACAACTGATGAAAGGCTTTTTGCTCAAATGGTTTTATAAATAAAATGGGTTTTTTGCCCTTCTTTACTTACCACCTCCCTGCCATCAGGAGATTAGCTGTTGTCCACCTGATGGAGAAGGACCTCTCTTTCCTTTCTACACATGGTTACATAAACATCACAGTGGAAACTATACATATTAACCTGCAATGGTATTGGATTCCCATGTTGATGTTTACCATAACTTAGTGGAAACCAGCCCAGTCTTCATGTATATCATGGCTGAATATAATTACTATGTTTCTATTTATTCATTTAAATGAAAAAAAAATGGAGACGATACATAATATGTTTTCATATTTTTTTTAATCAGGCTTTAATTTAAATGCCATAAAACGGACCAGAGAGCATTTCAACTTAGATTTGTCAAATTGCACTAAAACTCACTTTCTGTCATTCTCATCATTGTTTATGTTGATTATAAAAGTAAAACAAAACAAAAAAATCTGTACACATTTCACATATCACGTTATCATGAAAAACAAAAACCCAATAATTTGTAATAACTATCTTTGATACAAATCGTACAATTCCTAAAAAAACACAAAAAAACACCAAACAGTTCCAGTTTCCAGAGAAGTGATCCAAAAAATAAGCATGAAATAAAGACAGAAATCTAATTTTCATGGGGTTGATTGCCAATCCTCTCCTGCCTTTCTATGCTTGCTCATTCTGTTCTATGTTCGCAACCAGCCCTTTGGTGTCCACCGCTGCTCGGTTTGGATTGTTGAAGTATAACTTGTTGTCAAAGGTGGATTCTCCCAGGGTGGGGGCAGGTATCCTAGGTATCCTTTTACGGAACAGGAGGAAGGCACCAAGTCCAACTATGGCGATTACAATTAATACTATAGCCACAGTGATGCCAGCGGACCCGTGTGTAGTTTCCTGGACGACGTGGGCTGAGGAGACAAAAATGTAAAGTTGGAGCAGTGAATTTACTCAGATTTGAAAAATTAAAAAATATATGTTATATATTTTTAACAACTTACCAACAAATGGAGGCTTTTCTGTAGGTTTAATAACTAAAATGATAAATCAGTAAATAAATCAGTAAATACATACAAGGCTTATTTGAATATATTTTAAAAAAAAGCTTCTTTAAGTTACCTTTTGGTGTTTTGCAGATGAAAGAAAATGACCTTCTGCACTCTGTCGTACTCCACAGACCAGTGTAAGAACTGATGTACACACACGACTCTGACTGTGGCATTCCTGATTTCCAGTTGGTATAGTCCAAAGGGCTGTCATCGATCCACATCCACTTGTCTGAAGCGGAGACACATGTTAATTTATCAACACATATCCAATGTGTCGGTGTGTATATACATGTATATATTATGCTGAAGTTAACCTCACCTTCATGGGTCTTGTACATGCCAATCCAAAAGGTTTTGGCACTGTCCTGGAGAATCTCCACATTCTCTTCTATGAATTTACTCTCAATAGGGTCCTGAATACTCACTAGAGAAGCACCTGATAAACATGGTACAACAGTTAAAAGCTAAAGGTTATAAACATGGACATAATTCTCTGTTTACATTGAATTATTTGTAACTTACCCAATTTTATACATTCAATTGAGGCGTGGGCCCAGTCGTTGGTCACTGAGCTGAAGAAGGAATAACAATGGCCTCTGAAAGGTATCCATGTTCTCCTGCTTGTTGATTGTGGACAGTCTCCAGGAAGCTGCGGGGGAGCAGTGGGAGCTACAACTGAAAAAGAAGGAGCAGGTTTTATGACAGTCTTATGAGCTGCCTGCTAACTTTGCATAGTGAGTGTGTACAAAGTGTAAAAGACAGAATGTCTCACCTTGTGACCTTTTGCAAAGGGAATAATAGGTATTGGTACATGGTGCAGTCTTCCATGTTTTGTCCACATCTACATACACACAGGCGTAGTTATTTTTAGGTTCATTTTTGCCCCATTTGGTGTAAGACAGAGCCCAGTTATCCACCCACTTGAAGTGAAAACCAGTCTGTGAAAAAATAAAATCGTTGAAAACTGACACAGAGCTAGAAACAAGGTCAAAATCTCAACTTGAAATCCTGCTTGAACCAGCAATAAGCTGTAACAGGTAGACCCCTACCACATTGCTGTTGAGGCCAATCCACAAAGGCTCGTTGAGCTTGAGAATCTGCAAGGTGGCGTATGCGTGTGCTACGGGGCTCAGGATGCTAGCCAGCTCTGCATCATCTGCTTGGCACTGCCTCCTGGCCTCATCCCAGCGCATTTTCTGGGTCACCACTTTGTAGGAGTCATTGCCGAGCTTGTAGAAGGTCTTTGGTGACACAGTTGTAGGTTTGACAGCAATTTGTGAATCTGAGTAAATGACACACATTAGCTGGTAATCACAGTCACAAGAAATGTCTACGTAAGGGCTCTGCAACTCAAGTTCGATTACACAAAACGGAACTATTTTCCACTTTGCTTTTTCACCCCTCCTGTTTCTCTCATTGTTTTCACTTCTGTTTGATTACTTGCTCCTGTACTTTGACCTTCTTCCACCTGTTTTTCATCCTCAGCAGCCCCCTGTGTATACAGAGTCCTGTTTTGACCCCGTCTTTTTTTGTCAGATCACCTGTTTTGCTTCTGGTTGTGCTTCCTGTTTGGCTCCTAGCCATTCTCTGTGTGTTTTTCTTTTGTTTTTCATGCCGCTGTACTGCTCTGCAGTGTAATGACGCATTTCTGTTGTAATGCCTGTTTCAACATCATGATTCAGCGTCCTCTCAACTGCCATCATTCAACAATTCATGACAAGTCACACTTTTAAATAATTTAAATGTTGAAATCATTTTTGTTATGCTGGGTATTGTTAAGCTAACTGTAAACTGATTGTTCTGATTGGCTGACTGTTACATAGAACAGGTTTGAACTCCTTGGCATAGGGCTATTGTGGCCATAGGCAACATGACCATATTAGGGTTAGTCACTGACATCACACAGATCCAAGAGTTAAAAAAGTTGTCTGAAGCTTGATCTTGTGACTCATAGAGGTGAGTTGCATAATACATTTAAGGATAAGGATAATAGAGAGCGCCTTCAAATTTAACAGCATGCTTTACTGATAGTGTGGCCTCGTCAGTTTGTTACTCACCAATTTTTCTTTTACAGATGAAGCCATAATCTGACTGACAGTCATCCACCTTCCAGTATCCAGTTTTTCTGGCACTGGTGCCCATCATGATCACGCAGTCATAGGACTGTCAAGCAGAAAAAAAAGGTTTGTTTCCATTGGTTGTATTATGATGACAGTATCCTGACATTTCTTTTTACACACCGTTTGAGTAAGTAAATGTTTGTCTTATTGTCTTACATAAATATTACCACTGGGGCATGCACACATAATCTGTGTAATCACTGTGTGATGGAGGCAGAATGGCTGGTGGAGTAAAAGAGTTTACAGATTTTCTTATTTAACTAAAAGTAGATACAAGTGGTGCTGTGTCTGCCTGCAGAGCATGCAGGCAGGTTAGGTTAACTGATGACTCTAAATTGACTGTGAGCACGGATGTCCATCTCTCTGTGTCTCTTCACCCAGCAAAGGCCACTGTGTGCCCGCCTCTGACCCTGTGGCAGCTGGGAGAGGCTCCTGAACTCGATAAGTGGAAACATAGCTGCTGTTGTTTTTTTCTTTCTATAGTACTGATTATGAAACAAAGATTTTAAATATTGTATATGTTCATTAGACCAAACCTTGACTTGGAAGCATGGGATAACAAAGAAATACTACCATTTCAGTGATTAAAAGTGATCTTTTGAATATCATATTAGACTTCTTCCTAATCATGTGTTAAGGTGACTGGGACCATCTGGAGCACATACATGTACCATACTGTTAAACTAAACTGTTTATTTAATATTAGCTGTCTGGATAGGCAGCACTCAGTCTAATTCAATGTCTTTTCTAAATTAAAGCGTGTGAGGGAGAGGAAAAATTCTCAGAAAAACCTCATGAAAATATCTTCCTGGAGGTGCTGATGCTGGCTCCCCTAAGGCCCAGTTGGTGTAGGAAATACTTTTCCCATCTGTCCACACAAAGCGCATCTCCCAGTTGACATCATTCATACCAATCCAAAAATCTTCCTTGTAGTTCAGCATCTGTGTTGTTAGGAAAGCTAGAAAGGAATTATTGCAATGTAATTTAGTGACACATGAAAATCAACCGATGTGTTTAAACATGAACTGCACTTTGCAACACTCCTGTCACTCACCTTGCTCTTTCTCACTGGTTATAGAAAGCAGATTTCCTCCCTGGTTTATGCAGTGTGTCCTGGCATCGTGCCAGTTTTTGTGATTCCCCACAACAAATTTGTAGCACTGTGTAAATAAAATGTAATCAGGGCGTTTATACTGAAATAACAAATGGGCAGAAATCAACTTGGCCAGGATATTTTTCCATACTTTTTATTTATTTGTTTGTTTAATTAAAGACATTTACCTGGAATAATCTGTGTAGTACATATGTATTTACCTTTCCTTGGAAAGCTAGCCACTCTGGAGCACATCCTCCTTTGGGAGCTGTCGTCGGGGCCATTGTTGTATTGATAAAACTGTTGCTTCTCTTACATATCGAAGGAAGCTCAATACCACAGTTAATATCATTCCAGTACCCTACATGTGAAGAATTTACAGAAAATTATGAATTGAATTCAATTTCAAATCATTTCAAGGGATTTAGGGATTAATTTTTTTACTAACATTTACTATAAATTACAATATAGATTTTCTCTGTATTAGACTCACCCATGCTGTTGTACATAGTCACACAGTTTTCATCATTGTTGGCAAAGTTGGGCTCATTGTGTTCCCATGCGGTGTAAGTTACAGGGGTGCCATCAAGCCAGCTTAAAATGAAAAGAAGAGAATTAACAAGTTATCAAGAATCCTAAACATTTGATGAAGGTTGTTTGTAAACAGCTAGTGTTTATTTTTTTGTAAATAATGCATTTTGATTTACCTAAACGATTTATCTAAATTCACTATCAGGCCGATGTAGTACTGTCCTTGTGTTCCTCTAGAAATCTGTTGAAACATAAAATGCGACTTTATATTAGGAGGAAAAGGAAAAAGAGACTCTGTGGATTTTAGAATTTAAAGAAAATGCACAAAGGTCCTGATTTGATTTATCAGGTTTGGAAATGAATTCTATAGTTCTTGCCTGTTTCCAAAGGAACTTTCTCTCGCTCTCTCCTGTGATGACTACAAGTTCACCAAAGTTTTTTTTGCAATAGGCTCTGGCTGCTTCCATACTCTGTTTGTTCATGTTCAGGTAATACTGGCTGTCATTGTATAGAAGCCATCCATCGTCTGTGGTGTTGTATTCTGCAAAGAGAGCAAAAACAGTCATTGGGAGTTCAGTCATGCAGGCAGCTTTGTAAATCTTTAAGTTGATTTATGAAAAGAATTTAGGCAGAAATATTAAAGAATCCTTAGGGTTTAGACTCAAAGAACCATGAATGAATTAATGAGGTATAATTTACATTTTAGACCAATCAATGAAATAGCAGAGGGCATCGTTGAGTCTAGACAGAAATAGTGAATCAACTGACCTACACTGTATTTCTCAGTGAAATAAAAAGATCTGTTGAATCAACTAGACTTTTCTCTGAACAATAATTAAACTTACCTTGTACAGATATCACAGGCTCGGGGTTGGGAGTCACACCTGAGAATAAATAAGCGAGACCCACAAATATTACCAAGCTTTAATTTAACACCAAATGTTTGGAAATCTGGCTCTGTGTGAGCTGAAATTCCAAGATATGATCAGCCTGTCTCACCTTTGCGTAACTGGCAAATCCAGCTATTGTAGGCATCACAGTGTCGATCATACCACCTCATTCTTAAGTTAAAGTCCATCTCTGTACAGTGCTCGCTGTCATTGTGGTTATTTGGTTCTCCATAGCCCCAGTTCTCAAAGTCAAACTAGGTCAAAGTTTTTACAAAGATACATAATTAGGCAGGAAATGAGAGCAGTAATAATTAAAGCTTTTCCTGATTGTTCTGAATTGCTATGTACCGGTGATCCATCACCCCAGACAAAACCTCCATTGGTTCCCTGTAAGCTGAGGCCTATCCAGAATTTTTCACTGTAGTAGACACTGTATGAAAGTAAAAAACACAAGCACTGATTATCTGAATTGTTGATTTACCCAGTATGAATTCTGAGATATGCAAGCTGTTAGCTAGTGCAAGTAAACATACTTGAGCTCTCTACATTCCTGATGACTGTGTAAGCTTATGAGGTCCCCGCCAATGGCCCTGCAGAAATCCCGTGCTTCAGACCAAGTCTTCTTTTCCTCTTGACGTTTCTTGTACGCCTTTATTAAGGAGTGAAAAAAAAAGGGGGGGGAAGCCAGTGTTTTATTACTGAAACGGCACAAATTTGTTATTGTTCTTAAGTTTGTGCTCCTACTTTGAAACATTTGTTCCCTTTGCTGAGCGGGGTCCACTCAGAAGCACAGGCCGCGGCCAGAGTGGTGGGTGGAGCTGTTGTTGTCTGCACACCCTCAGCACGTTTCTTGCAAATATACTTCTCCTTGTTACTGCAGCTGACAACATCCCATAGTCCAGCAAAAACTCCAGTTGTCATGGCAACACATCCTTGTTTTCTGTCTTTTATTAGAGTAAGATAAAAGCATACGGATTAGATTCAATCAAATACAGAAAAGAAACTATGTTGAGCATAACTTCTCATTAGTGATCATGAATTACATGACAATGATTATCATGACAGCATTCTCAGAACAATGGCAAAGACCAAGTGAAGTGAAGAAGGAGAACTGTAGATTGGGAAGGTCTGTCTCTAAACAACTTCAGATTCCGAGAATATCAGTTTAAATGATTTAGCTTAAGCACAAGTTATTCAGCTGTGTCACCACATTGCCAAAATCTGGAAGAAGACCCTAACTTTCTCCCTCAATTGAGAGGAAATTTAGTTAGTTCAGGAACAAGCTAGGAACAACCAAGACTGAATATTGACATGAACTGGAAACTGGGGGCCTCTGGATGTCTGGAGCTTTGATCTCCTCCATCACCTGCTTCATGCCCTGGTGGACGGGCTGTGGCTCCCCACACCCTCTAGCAGATCATTACATGAAGGAACCTTTTAAAAACAAGCGCGTCCATGCTCACAGGTGTACACACGGGTGCTCACACACACAAACTACACCCTTTTTGGCTCCTACCTCAAAGCACACTGTGCGCTGTCGATCTTACGTGCTGCACAATAATGTTTAATATTTAGTATTTACTGTTATATTCCCATAGATCATCGTGATGTTGTTTATTGTATTGCTCTCGTTTTCTTCTGCTTGTTTTCTTTTTTCTTTCTCAACAGGTGATCCAGGTGATTGATATATGTATTTTTTTTGTCTGCTTATTTAGTTGGTTTTTGTTTTTTTGCCCTTTATCCCCGTCCCTCTTCTCCGCTGTTTTTTCCCCCTCTTCCTTTCTCCCTTTTCTTTTCCTCATTCAAGTCTGTCCCGTATCTAGCAAGTGAAAATAAAAAATAAATAAAATAAACAATAAAAGGTGAATCAAATAGACCATTACGGCAAGGCTGGGATGGTCAATTTGGTAAAGTAAATCCGTTGGGCATCTTTCTCGCCTTTAGACAATAATTCTGATGGCAAAAGAACCAAACGGGACAGGCAAAAAGAAAAAAAAAAAAAAAGACATGAACTGGAAACTGCTGTAATCCCAGCTTCACTGTCAATAGTGAAGCCAGTTTCAGAAATCAGCACCTTCAAGCTCGACTAAAATTTGAAGCTGTCCACTATTCAGCCAAAATAATAGGAGTAAAGGGGAGGAGTTGTCATGGTCCTGGGTCTTTTGACCCAGCGTTTTAAGTTTGAGTTTATTTTGTTCATTAGGTTATCTAAGTTCATTTGGTTATTAGACTCCTTGTGTTTTCTTCCCCTGTATTTAAGCTTCCCCTCATCCTTCATGTTTCATGCTGCGTGTCTTATGTTATCAAGTTTGTATTATCATGCCTAAGTGTTTCTAGTTCTTATTATTTCCCCTTCGTGTTTCCAACCATGTTAAATCTCCCCTGCTCTTCCTGAGTTTCATGTCTGTGTCTTACATTGTGAAGTTCGGGTTGTCATGTCTACGTCTCATTCTGTTTCCTGTTTTATTGTGAAGAGGTCTGGGGTTTCTGTGTTCATCGTGTTCAGTATTACTCTTCCCCTGTGGCGTTGTTATGTTCATGTTGATCTACTGTGCCTTTCTGTTCCATGTTTCAGATTCCTATGTTCTGTCCCCCCAGTTGCTCTTAAGTTTGCGTGTTTTAGAATTCAGTCAGTGTGTTTCCTGTTTTACTTTGAAGGTCCATGTCTCATGTGAGTGTTTCTAGTTTTGCGTCCCTGCCTCGTCCTGCCTAACTACTCTCAGCTGTTTCCTCATGTGGCTCCACTTCCCCTAATCACCTCCTGTGTATTTAAGTTCTCTGTTTTCAGTGTGTGATTGTCAGGTCGTCTGTTGTCCACGCCATGTTTCCGATGCCATGCTTCCAAGTTTCTTGTCTAGGTTTTTCTTATTGTTTGTTTAGATTCCCCAGTTTAGGTTTGTGTTAATTTTGCTTCAGTTTGCCTTGCCCTTTGTTTGTACCTTTTCTACCAGCCTTATTAAACGGCTCACCTTTTGTTAACATTCAAGTTTTGGTTCCCTGTTCCTTGGAGTCTGCATTTTGGGTCCTTTTTCAATTCATACAGTCTGTCCTCGCCTGACTGTGACAGGAGTAAATTAAGAACACTGTATCAACTGCCAAGCATGGTGGTGGTAGCAACATGCTCTATATGCTCTAGGACTGTTTTGCTGACAACGGTTCTGCTACATTACACAAAGGGTGAATTCTTCCAAATTCTACAACTTCTCAAATCATTGGCTAGATGGACACAAACTTGGGCACAAATGGGTATTCCAACAGGACAGTGATGCCAAACACACATCAAAACTGACTCTGGATTGTAATAAGTTAAAGAGTGTATAAGGTTAAAGAGCGTACCTGGCATTCCCACATTGAAATTAGTGAACGTGACCGCTCTTTCAGTCGTCCATTTGAACATGTTTCTGTCTTCTGTGTTGGAGAAGCCTGTCCAGAAGTACTTCTCTGGTCTCAAGCCCACCAAACTCACCAGAAAAGCATTCTCATATCTGCATGAAAACATACACAAAGTTTGGCATATGTGTGACATTTCTGCATTAGAATTAAGTGTGAAATAGTTGTAAAGTCCAAAACAGACAAACAAATTATATATGTCATGGTTCAGTACTGTCCATACTAGTCTGATGAAGGCTCTAATATTAAAGGATTTTTATGTAAAAGTAGGCGATCACGATCAAGTGATCAGAGCTCTAGTAAAGCTACCCTTGTCCAGTGATTTCTTTTGCATCCCCTATAAAAAAACAAACAAAAAACTGAAGAAAGAACTGAAACCATGTTCCTCAAGAATTGAGTAATGATATGAGCAAGGACTGTGCAATCCAATTTTAATCTAGTTTCAAATTCTAATGACTACGTAAATGAAAATTATTGCACAATATTGAAAATGTATGGTCTACCAATAGAACAAAAAGCAAAGGTGGTGCAGGCCCACCACCCTCAGGAGGCACCGTGGGGGCCAGGTGCATTGTGAGCTGGGCGGCGGCCAGGAGCGGAGGACTGATCCCCGGCTACCAAGACTGGCAATTGGTACACGGAATTTCACTCCTCTGGTGGGGAAGGAGGCTGAGTTAGTGCGTGAGGTTGAGAGGTACCGGTTAGATATAGTCAGGCTCACATCAATGCACACCTTGGGCTCTGGAACTAGCCTCCTGGAGAGGGGCTGGACTCTGTCTCAGTCTGGAGTTACCCCTGGTGAGAGGTGGCGGGCCAGGGTGGGTATCTTGGTATCCCCTTGGCTTGCTGCCGGTATGTTGGGGCTTCTCCCAGTGGACGAGAGGGTTTTTTTCCCTTCACCTCCAGGTCGGGGAACGAGTCCTGACCGTCGTCTGCGCTTATGCGCCGATTGGCGGTTCAGAGTACCCAGCCTTCTTGGAGTCCCTGGCTGGGGTACTGGAGGGTGGTCCTCCTGGAGAGTCTGTTGTCCTACTGGGAGACTTCAATGCTCACGTCACTTGTTTTGTTATTGGACTTAAGCGGGTGGTGGCTGAAGCAAAAACTCGGGTGTGGGAGGAGTTCGGAGAGGCCATGGAAAAAGACTTTTGGACTGCCTTGAAGAGATTCTGGCAAACCGTCAGGCGACTCAGGAGGAGAAAGCACTGTTCTACGTGCACTGTGTATAGTGCGGGTGGAGTGCTGCTGACTTCGACTGAGAAAATTGTCGGGTGGTGGAAGAAATACTTTGAGGACCTCCTTAATCCCACTGGCACGTCTTCCTTGGAGAAAGCAGAATCTGGGGATGAAGGGGATGACCAGCCAATCTCTGGGGGTGAGGTCACTGAGGCAGTTAAACAACTCCTTGGTGGCGGAGCCCCTGGGGTGGATGAGGTCTGCCCTGAGTTTCTGAAGGCTCTGGATGTTGTAGGGCTATCTTGGTTGACATGCCTCTACAATGTTGTGTGGAGATCAGGGGCAGTACCCCTGGACTGGCAGACCGGGGTGGTGCTTCCCATCTTTAAGAAAGGGGACCGGAGGGTGTGTTCCATCCTTATACAACCGTTGCAAGAACTTGGTCCACATAGCCGGCAATAAGTCAAACTCGTTCCTGGTAGGTGATGTGCTCAGCCAGGGCTGCCCTTTGTCACCAATTCTGTCCATAATTTTTATGGACAGAATTTCTAGGCGTAGCCAAGTGGTGGAAGGCTTTCACTTGGGTGGTCTCAGGATCTCATCTCTGCTTTTTGCAGATGATGTGATTCTGTTGGCTTCATCTGGTGATGGGGTTCCAGCTCACCTTGGAACGATTCACAGCCGAGTGTGAAGCGGTGGGAATGAGAATCAGCACCTCCCAATCTGAGGCCATGGTCCTCAGCTGGAAAAGGGTGGAGTGCCCACTTCGGGTTAGGGACGAGTTCCTGCCCCAAGTGGAGGAGTTTAAGTATCTCAGGGTCACTTGTGAACAACCACAAGTGACGAGAGAAGGGAGCGGGAGATCAACAGACGGATTGGTGCAGCGGCCACAGTGATGCAGACACTGTACCGATCTGTTGTGGTTAAGAGAGAGATGAGTGTAAAAGCAAAGCTCTCAATTTACTGGTCGATTTACGTCCCTACCCACACCTATGGTCACGAGCTTCGGGTAATGACCGAAAGAATGAGATCTCGGATACAAGCGGCAGAAATGGGCTTCTTCCAAAGGGTGGCTGGCCTCTCCCTTAGAGATAGGGTGAGAAATTTGGCGATTTGGGAGGGGCTCAGAGTAGAGCCGCTTCTCTTCGAGATCGAAAGAAGCCAGCTGAGGTGAGTCGGGCACCTGACAAAGATGCCTCCTAGGCACCTCCTGGGTGAGGTTTTATGGGCATGTCCCACCAGGAAGAAGCCCCGGGGCAGACCCAGGACACGCTGGAGAGGTTATATCTCTCGACTGCCCTGGGAATGCCTTGTTGTTCCCCCAGACAAGCTGGAGGAGGAAGGTCTGGGCTTCTCTGCTTGGGCTTCTGCCCCAGATAAGCTGAACAAAATGGATGGAGAGATGAATGGATATTTGGTATTTGAACTAATACAAAACATCTAAACATGAAATATACCTATCAGACACATCCACCAGGTTCGCACCAGCCCCTGAGCATGCCTGCTTTGCCTCTTCAAAGGTTTTTTTCTCAGCTCCGATGTTATAACAGTATGAACCAAACCTGATTGATCCCTAAAAAAAGGAGAAAAAATGATGAATAAAGGCTTTTCTGTTAAATTGCACCTGTATTTAAAGGAGAGGACATAACTCACAAGAGTGCACCCTTTGTTGACTTCTGCTAGACTGCCTCCAATTGGTTTAGCCGAGGCCTTCTTCTTGCACATATATCCATGCAACTTCTCACAAGTGTGATCTGCCCACTTACCATCCTGTATAAGAAATACAGAGGGGTCTTAGAGTTGTAACTTTATAACAGAATTGATTGTGGTTTTGCAAGAATTTGTGCTACCTTTCCTTGAATCAGGACACAGTCCTCTTGGAAGCTGATGAGATGAGAGGGCTCATCACTCTGCCACTGGGTAAAGGTGACATGTGAGTGATCGGACCATTCAAAGAGCATCTGGTTCTTTTGGTCATTCATGCCAATCCAGAGCACATCTGTCGGCACTGAGGTTTGAAGTATATAGAGACGGAAAGTGGTCATATATGTCTCCTTACTCTTTCAGCCTGTTTTTATAATATAATTGTTCAATGAACGTCACAAATTTATTTATTTAGTCTGGTTTGGAGGTGCTGCCAGGTATAGTTTGTTACAAAGCTCATACTGTACAACCTAGCTAATGCTATGCTAAGCTAAGGCTAGTTTCATATTTTCTCAAAATTTAAAATTATTTCTTTTCATTTATAAGTAGGTAGGTAATAGGTAGGCCTATTCCACGTCACGTTAGAGTACTTACTTTCTGATATTTCAGTACTTTAGCAGGATATTGTTATTTGTTGTTATCTTCTTGCACACTTACTGTATCCAGATTGAGAAATAATGAAGCTCTGCTCCTCTATGTTATGTATGCTGGCAAGATCTCCTCCTTCTTTGCGGCATGCAGCTAAAGCATTACTCCACATCTCTGCAGTCCTCACCAGATAGTAGCAGTTTCCTGCATAGTGAACCCAGTGATTGGGGCAAAAGCCAGGCTGTTTGGCTGTGGACAGAGATCAGAAGGGCTAAGAACAAACTCTTTCTAGCTTTGTATTGTAAAGACACGGACTCATAATAAACGGAAATTTACTCGATGGTGGGGGCAGACTGGTAGCATTTCCTTTACGACAAACGTAACCAAGTTTCTTGCTGCACACGCTGCTCTCCCACTTTGAGGCCTTTGCAGCATTTAGGGTTGCACAGTTTAGCCCAGGGTTTGATGATGGATGACCTGTGGGAAGCACAGGTTAGTTAATGCTAAATATAAAAGGGTGTACTTTTGAAGTACTCCAGGTATTTAAAAAACTCACACAATTCCATGACATATACCAAGACATACTAACCTGGGGCCCAGTTTAAATATCTGAAAGGGTTTCCGTTGCTCCACTGCCATCCACTATCAAAATCCAAGCTGTTCAGCCCAATCCACAGAGATGAGCCCAAATGATTTGCTAACCCTGTGTCAACACATGCATTTGAAATTAATGTATCATCAGCAATATAACACAGATGATAGAAGGCTGATTATGTACCTGAAATGTATGACTGCTCATGCAACTCTACGATGCTGAGGAGGTCGGCTCCCTGCTGCTGGCAGCTCTTCCTGGCCTGATACCAAGTCAACACTGACTGTGCGTTTAACTGATACTGAACCCCTGTGACTGGGTCAGTGATCCAGTTGGAGGATGCTAGATTATGGTAAAGACACAAAGCGCTATAAATTATTACACAGCTGGAAATTACTTATATCAGGAAGTTAAATTCATTGAACGCTCCCTGACTTAAGTAGACGGTGAAGGATTCAGTTTATTTTATTACCCTGCATGGTTTGAATATGGACTGAAGATTGGGTGCTATCACAATTTAAAACATGTCTGTTTTGATGACATGTTGATCTATAACAGTGATTCCCGAAGTGTGAGCTGGGGGCGCCCTGGTGGGCGGTGAAGGTACTGCAGGTGGTGCTGCAGTAATAAGAGAAATTCAGTTTGAAATTACAAGTATATGCAATTACATATGTATATAAATGTATTTATTTAAATTAAGGTTAATTAAAATTAGTAATAAGAGGTGGTTAGTTTGTGATATTATAGTACTGAGGTTTGTGTGGCAGGTGGGCCTTAACACTGATTGGGCAACATTAGCAATTTATAGCCAACAGCCTGTGTTGTTTATGCTTTTTGAATAACATTTTCAAAGAAATACACTGATTTTTCTTGTATTTTGATTAGAAGAAAGATTAAGGTGGGCCCCATGGGAGTCTGTGGTTTTTAGGTGGGCCACAGCAGTCTTAATTTTGGGAATAGCTGATATACAGGAACAGAAAGTATCAATAAGAATTTCAAAACTTAAAGGAAGAAAGTATATAAAGTATGTAATTTAAGAAACATCTTCTACAGCCTCAGATGGGACGGAACTCTGACTTTATAAAGCAGTCTGGTAAAGGGAGATCCCTTTATTTTGCTGTTGCTTTCCTGCCTCAGTTTAAGAGCAGTGCCAGGGGAAACTTAAGCCTGTGAAAAGAGGAAACAGAGGACAGTGCTGTGTTGACAGTCCATGAGAGGAAAAGGTCAGAGAGGGTCAGAAAACGGGCCTGCAGCACTTAATTCTTCATAAAAAAAACAAAGTTTTTGTGCATGATTTAATATAAGTAACCATGGAGGACTTCCTGTCTTCATATTATAGATGTAAAGTGGACTGGATCAGACCATCTTTCAGGTTAAAGAGATTTTTCATTCCTTACCTCTGGTTGGACAAAGTCCCCATTTTCCCACTTTATCATAATCTCTCTCTGTGGCACACCACAGCTGTCCATCCGTACGACCGTCTTTAGTGCATTCGGCATACCACTTCTCGTGGAACTTAAAAGGGAACTGACAAGCGGTTCCAAAAGCATTTCCTCCTAGTGTGAATATCTCTGCGGAGACACAAATAATGGAGACGTGCAGTCATTTCACCAGCATGTGATTGATAATTATGAGAGTTTGCCTCCCAACTTCTTAGGGTTCTTTTCTTAAGCTTTTAGAACTTCATTCAATTGATTTCAGCCAATTTACCCTCAAGTTTGTTTATTGATGCTGGGTGAGAAGGAGTAGTGTTCGGTTTCTTGCCCTGGTTAAAGTCAGTCATTTAAATTTAGAAAATGAACTTGTGCTTGTAATGGACACGTGCCCATGATGAAAAGGGGTTTTTCCCAAAATGCTCCAGAATGTTGGGAAGTGCTGCAAACGTTGCAAATGGTAAGTACAAATCACTGCAAATCACTCCAAACCAAAAGTACATTAAAGCACGCAAACTCATACTTGTACTTTGCAAATAGGTTATCAGGTGTGATAAATGAGTCTAAAGTTTTAGCTTGACCTGAAAGTGATGGTGGATGTTAAAACTTAATACAGCTTTTGGTTGTTTGAGTTACCAAGCTTTAAAAAGTGTGGGTTTTTCACCTATCCACCATGGATTCCATTTATACAGTTGAGACTTGCTGCCTATGCTGTGCACAGAGAGTGCCTTCATAAGGACTGCTTATTATCTGTGCTGCACTGACAATTATGCAGTCTCACCAGCGATCCCTGACTGTGTTCACTTTTAGTAAGAACAGCAAGTTTCTCAACAGCTATGCTGTAACCAGCTCCCTTCTAGTCCAAGAAAATCTTTCTAAAAATTATACCTGCAGTTGAAAACATAATTTCGTAATGCTTAAATCCTCAAATGCTACACTCCAAACAACGACATACTCTAACATGTGCTAAAACATTCATACTCTGTCCAAATATTCAAAAAGAAGGGGGAAAGAATAAGAACTATGTTACGTTCCCTAGACAACTACAAAATCCCCAATAAATATTATTATAGCCAAGCCAAGTTTCGTACTCAGATCAGATAAAAAAACAACCTTCCACATACTTTAAGATGTTTAGATGGTAAATGTAATTTCATCAGTAGCCATAGCACTTTTATAACCTAGTTTGCTTTGTACAGATTGTAATATTTTGCATTTGTAATTTGAATGGAAGTAAGAAAAATTTTATTGTACTTTACAAATTCCAAAAACAACAACTTTAAAGCATGCACTGTTCAAGGACCTTCTAAAACACATTTCTAAACTTTCTACAAAGCTAAAGCAGACTCAGGTTTAGCTATCTTTGTAGGCTCTTGTGCCCATCATTCCTACCTTGATATCCCTTTGAACAGAGGTCCCCCTGAGTGCCATATATCCTCCAGCGACTCCAGATCCCAGAACCTTTGTAGATCATGACACTTTCCTCATCGCAGTTGCCCCAGTTTAAGTGCAGGTCCTGGTCTTTTAGGCCAAAGAGGGTATCGTTCTTACACTGCCAATGCTGGAGGTCATTGCTCTCATCACATTCCACGAGCTGCACCTTCACCCAGTCTTTTATCGCTGTAGTACCCAAACACAGCTTAAGGGACAAACTGAGGAGACGAGACTCAGAGACCCATCGGAACTGTTGATCTTTGGCATGAGGATTACAAGCATCCACTGTTATAAAGGTGGCACTCGCCACCTTTACGCACTTGTTGTGATCTTCATTGAAAATCAGGAAGCTACTCGTGTCTGGAGCAGAGCAAAAAGAAAATTCAGCACCACATTCCCATGGGATATGTTTTTCAAATGAAGCCACAAGTGTATTAACCAACAAAAATGTTTCTGTGTTACATACCTATATCAGCGGTGATGCAGAAGACTTGGACAAGGACACAGAGGACCACAGCAAAATTTAAACAGGGCAACATTATCCTTGTGTAGTTTGCAGTTACTGTTGGATGAGGCTGTAGCAGAGATTTCCCGTCATGAGCAAAGGGGTCTGGTGTATACAAACGTGTGTGACATGGAACAACAGTGATCCAGGACTCAGTGCCTTCCCTTTTTAATCAGACAGATGGATATCCTGTCACATGAGTAGTTACGCCTGGTCAAACTCCTGGAAGTTCCACAAGCTTTGCAGACCTTTTGGCAGGGTAGGCAGGAAGTAGGAAACAAACAATCTGACCTCTCCATTCAGCAAGAAAATGAAAGTCAACTTAAAGTGTCAGGCAAGACTAATAATGAAAGCAAAAGGTTTTTTTTGTTTTTTTTTTAAATATCACAAAGCACCCTTTTCAGGATTAATTCCCTTTATTGACTTCATCATTGACTTTAAACTGTTGTAAATAGACATTATGTGCTAAAAATGTGCCTGGAGCTTGAACCCTGAGAGCAGATTGCACTGTGCAAGACTAAATTTAGATTCAAAGGGAGATTGAGAAGATGTATGTTTTTGCAGGATAGTACTATGAGGCTTTTGTTGAAGAGTAGAGCAATGACACCAATCAGAAGACAGAGAGGACAAGAGGAAATCCTGCTTCCTATTGGGGGAAATGAGTGGCACTTTGACCACTTTGGTTCCAAACTGCAGAAACACCAAGTTATGGTGCTTAGACCAATAGATCCAGATAAGTTTCTTAAATGTTAAAACTGAACTTCTGTCAGGAACACAATAGTCATACAGAATGAAGAATGACTGTGGTAGCTTTCCACTTTGCTCACTTGTCATGACACTGAATAAAGCTTTAAATGTTTTTTTTTTAATTAAAATAACCTGAACTTTACATTTACTATATGTCTTAATCCTTGGTTTATCTGATAAATCTGATTTTTTAATGCTGCTTGCCTCTGCTCTCAACCCTTTTTTGTTTTGCGTGCTCGTTCTGCTCTGTGTAGGCGACCAGGTCTTTGGTATCTACTGGCAGTAAGACTAGATTTTTGTGTAAGTATAAATTGTTGTCAGAGGTGGCCACCTCTGACAACAATTTATACTTACACAAAAATTATCTCAGGTAGGGGTACATATCCTGTGTATTTGTTTATGGAAGAATATGAGGGCATCAAGTCCAAAATTAGTTCCAAATTATTATGCAAATTGTGTTTAACGGTAAAAAAAAGCACCTTTGCCACTTATTATAACATTGGAAGTGAAAAGGAGATGGATGAGACAGTAACAGGGCGATATTTTAAAGTATTTTGGTCACTCGCAGACAATGATCCGCGATCGCGTTGGCGACGCTATCAGCCTATAGCCGTTAGCTCTTAGCAGATGGCAAAATACGCTCTTCCCCCCTGCATCGGGATAATGCAGGGAAATACTAGTGTTTTCGTTATTTTAAAAATTAGTATCGTTACATTGAGTGGCAATGCAACGAGGGTTACAAAAGAAAACAATAGATTGATTGCGTGGGATCGTGCATGTAGCGGTAGCTACTGTCGGGGTAGCTTCCGCTACAGAACATGACACATATCACGGTGAATCAGCGAGTTATGGTTTGTTCTGGTTTTATGAAGAACTTGTCTTGTTGCATTACCGTGCAAGTTGAGTGTTAGAAAAGAAAACTACAGATTTATTGCTCTTGCGATCGAACATGTGGTGACATGTCGACCGAACAAAGAACATGCGTCACGACGACGCAGCGAGTTATTTGTTGTTGGTTTGTTTATTATTCGATTTGAGGGTAAGAAAACATTTTATGTTGACTATTCTCACGTTCGGACAGGATTATTGCAATGAACGAAGGATATTTTGCCTGATAATTATTTATATCCTGCTGTAACTTTTCTGTATAAAGAACTAAGCCCTCCAACGTTTCAGGCGTAAAACGTCATAAAAAGAAGTGTTTGTAACTAAAAATAAAAATTGTGGAATACTGTTTGTGCGTGATTTAGATCCCAGCCTGTGCTCCCGACACTGGGGAAACAAACTGGCCCGGAAGAGTCACCGCGGAACGACACCGGGACCCACCGCTGCAAGCAGACCGCTCCGAGCAGCCGGCTGGAGGCAGCGGAAATCATATTCTTCCTCGATTCCCAACATAACCACTCATGTTCATCCTTCTCAAATAAAAGTTTTTCTGGTTCAAAGTGATCTTGTATTGTTATTAACATATTTTTGTAAGTTTATTTTAGAAAACAACAAGGTAATAAGCACTTAGTATGTGAAAACTAAAAACATAGTATACCGTTTTATTATAATTTACTATAGTTCTGCAAAAAAATAATGCTGGATCAAAACGAATGTTGGAGCCAATCTTTGACCCATCTAAAGGCTTAATTATAACAATAATCAAATATTACTTCAAATGTATTTTATGGAAAATTTTTTGTTTTTTTGTTTTTTGGGGCTAAAAAAAACGGTGCGCTCATGTAATTAAACTGCGATTAAAAGGGTTAAAACCCCCGAAATATAATTAAAACTTGATATGAATATTTCAGGGAGAAGTAGTTTTAAAAGATTGGCTAATTTAAAGTGGAAAAAAATATGAATATATAATCTTTTTATAGCACTTTTTGGGGCGTGGCAGAAAACGGTCCCTAGGGCGATGGACGTGAGTTTTTTTTTTTAATTTGCCCCTGCATTAAAAATAATGCTGGATCAAAACGAATGTTGGTGCGAATCTTTGGACCATCCAAAGGCCTAATTATAATAAAAGTGAAATATTACTTCAAATGTTGTTTATGGAAAATATTTTGTTTTTTTGTTTTTTGGGGCTAAAAAAAAAACGGTGCGCTCATGTAATTAAACTGCGATTAAAAGGGTTAAAACCCCCGAAATATAATTAAAACTTGATATGAATATTTCAGGGAGAAGTAGTTTTAAAAGATTGGCTAATTTAAAGTGGAAAAAAATATGAATATATAATATTTTTATAGCACTATGACAGTTAAGTGTCATAAAGATTAAATAAGTTGTTTTTCAATTAAACCCATGGATGGAATTGTGTCTCAGGACTCTTTGTATCACTGAAATCAATCTTGGACACCTATGATCATTAGTTTGCCAGGTGAGCCCATTTAAAGGAAAAACTACTAAAGAAGGATGTTCCACATTATTAAGCAAACCACCATTTTCAAGCAATATAGGAAGGAAAGAGTATCTCTTTGTTGCTGAAAAGCGTGAAATAGTTGAATGCCTTGGACACGTAATGAAAACTTTAGCTATTTCACAAAAACTTAAGCGTGATCACCATAATGTAAGAGATTTGTGGCTGAGTCAGAGCACACATGGGTTCGTGCAGATAAAGCACAATGATGAAGGTTTCTGCCGAACAAATACATCTGATTAAGATAACAGTTGCTAAAAGGCCATTACAAAGCAGCAAACACATATTTGAAGCTGCTGGTGCCTCTGGAGACCTGCAAACATCAAGGTGTAGGATCCTCCAGAGACTTGCAGTTGTGCATAAACCTTATATTTGGCCACCCCTAACCAATGCTCACAAGCAGAAACGGCTGCAGTGGGCCCAGAACTACATGAAGACAAATTTTCAAACAGTCCTGTTCACTGATGAGTGCATTGCAACCCTGGATGGTCTAGATGGATGCAGTGGTGGATGGTTGGTGGACAGCCACCATGTCTCAACAGGGCTGCAACGTCAGCAAGGACGTGGTGGAGTCATGTTTTGAGCCGGAATCATGGGGAGGGAGCTGGTCGGCCTCTTTAGGGTCGCTGAAGGTGTGAAAATGACCTCTGCAAAGTATGTGGAGTTTCTGACTGACCACTCTCTTCCATTGTAGAAAGAGAAGAACTGTGCCTTCTGCAACAAAACCATCTTCATGCAAGACAATGCACCATCTCATGCTACAAGGAACACCGCTGCTATCTGCATAAAAGGAGAGGAACTCATGGTGTGGTCCCCATTCTTCCCTGACTTCAATCCTACTGAGAACCTTTGGAGCCTCCTCAAACAAAAAAATATGAGGGTGGGAGGCAGTTCGCATCCAAACAGCAGCTCTGGGAGGCTATTCTGGCATCCTGCAAAGACATTCAAGAAGAAACTTTCCAAAAACTCACAAGTTCCATGGATGCAAGAATTGTAAAACTACTATCAAATAAGGGGTCCTACTTGACCTGTTAAGGTGTTTTTGATTGAAATAGCTTTTGATTTCAGTAAAATTGATCTACTAATGCTGCAAATTCAACAAATGACCATTTTCAATTCTCTACAACCTATAAAATGTTTTGAAACTCTGTGTGCGTAATAATTTGGAACAGTGCATTTTAAGTTTTTTATTTTTGAAAAAGATACTGTGTTCATTGGGAGTTTTGATCAGTAACATTTGAATTATACTCTAATGGTGGATGACACAAAAATTATGCTGACTCATTTGAATTGACTAAAATATCATTTGCATAATAATTTGGAACACGGTGTAATGATGTGTGCAAAGGAAGCAAAATGTACAGTTTTAGCAGTGACATATCTTAAATTTGAAATGCCACAATAAATATAGTACTGTGCAAAAGCATTTAGCCACCTCTTGTTTCTTTATATTTGTTACCAAGTTGCTAGAGTTTCCTGTCATGTTAAAAGTTGTCTTGAGTAACAGTTCTCCAGGCTTTCTGATGGTCTTTCAAAGTTTTTCTTTGGACATTGCCTGCTTTTTCACTCATTGTCAGTTCACTCTTTGTACCTGACCATTTTCAGAGGTATGCTTTTGTTTGATTTTGGAATACTAAATACTGACCTAAGAGTCATTAAAGCATGAAAAAGCCACCAAACTTACTGTAAAAGAACAGTGTTGTCTACAAATAACTGGCAATATAGCAAAGAACCAGTTCTTTAAATTACCAGAAACCTGTCAAAAAAACATATAATTGTTCCAATTTCTTAGGTTGAATATATGAAAAATAACCAAAGACAACAATGTCACAGGGATAATATAACATTTCAAAATGGCAAATGTGCCAACAAGGTGATTTCCAAAGACTTATAAGCTGAAAAAGTGGCCTGTCTCAGGATGGTGTAAGAGTTTCTTTAAAAAAATTGAAAAAACTGGACAAGTATGGGAAAAAGGAAGAAGTGGTCGATCTAAAAAAAACCA